CTGGGGACCCTCCGAGCAGCCACACGGCAGCAGGCACGGTAGCCATTCACACACGAGCTGTTGTGTGAGTTCTCTGGAGTTGATAGCGACTTGTCCCACGTTGGGCAAAGGTTGGTTTTAGTTTCGTAATGATTCTGAGTCCAGAGAGTGGGAGAATTGGAAAGGTTAGTTTGGAGCATTCTAGCCAAATTTTGGAGGAAACTAGGAGAATTCAGGATCCAGTCCAATTTACAGGTGGAAAACAAAATCTCAAAGACAAGAAACAGCTCTAGAATCTGATATGCACTGAGACGTATGATTGAAGCATACTTTTTCTCCCTGTAATCATCCTCCATTCCTATCAAAGATAATCACAGACTAATTTGCTTGCAAATTAAGACTAGTTCCAATAATTTGGTATGATTACTTATATAAGTACAGAGGAATAGTGATTGATCACATAGACACTTTTTAAAAAGCATTATTTATTTATTTCTGAGAGAGGGAGCGAGAGAGAGAGTGCGCGTGTGCGCACAAGCACGGGAGGGGCAGAGAGAGAGAGAGGGAGACCCAGAATCTGAAGAAGGCTCCAGGCTCTGAGCTGTCAGTGAAGAGCCTGACGTGGGGCTCGAACCCGTGAACTGTGAGATCATGACCTGAGCTGAAGTCAGATGCCTAACCGACTGAGTCACCCAGCGGCCACCTTATAGGTGCTTTTCAATCTGATTTGCTGAAATGTTTCATAAGGGAACTCAGATTAGACTTTCAAAAGCGTCTCCAGGCCAGGAAGCCAAGCCAGCTGTGTCCTGTTATAGGGAGAACAGATTTTTTTTGAAATTATGCAAACACACATATTGTCATGAAAAATCAGACTATTTAATTAAAAAATGAAGCAATTTTAAAAAAAGAATAATAACAGAGCACCTGGGTGGCTCAGTCGGTTAAGCATCTGACTTTGGCTCAGGTCATGATCTCACGGTTCATGGGTTTGAGCCCTGTGTCGGGCTCTGTGCTTGACAGCTCGGAGCCTGAAGCCTGCTTCAGATTCTGGGTCTCCCTCTCTCTCTGACCCTCCCCTGCTCACCCTCTCTCTCTCTCTCTCTGAAATAAAATTAAAGAAAAAAAAAAGAATAAGATTTTCTAATTTCTGGAGGAATCAGGGGAGAAAAAGAAAAAAGTTTCAACCTTTGTTGCAAAGATACACTTTACCAAATTGTTGTAAGTCACAGATAACTTAAGACAGAGGAGAAACGGATCCTTTACATCTGGAAAACAAGACATTCAAGAACCAGCAATGCTGTAAATGAAGTCGTCCAAATTACAATCATCTCCATCAGTTTGTTCAGAGTTTTGTAATTAATTCTTGTTTTGCTTCATCTTGGGCTGGCGGCTTTGTGACTCAATCAGTTTTCCATTAAGTTTCAGAAATTCTCACTCAGTTGAGCGCTATGGTCTTGAGGTTATAGAGAACCTGCATTCTGTAGTGCTTGTCAGGATTGTTCCCATGAATGTCTTTATAAAGGAAGCAGTTTTGCAGCAACATTTTTTGCAAAAGCATCAGAATAAAACAGTAGGTGGCTGTAAATGGCAAAAGGCTTAAAAATGGCCGTGGTTAAAGGTCTGGTGGGAGTTCATTATAATGCCTTTGACAAGGAAATTTGGTAATTATTTAAACTTTTTATTTTTTATTTTATTTTTATTTAAGTGTTTATTTATTTTTGAGAGAGAGAGACACACACAGAGTGCAAGTGGGGGAGGGGCAGAGAGAGAGGGAGACACAGAATGTGAAGCAGGCTCCAGGCTCTGAGCTGTCAGCACAGAGCCCAACGTGGGGCTCGAACTCACAAACCCTGAGATCATGTCCCGAGCCGAAGTTGACACTTAACTGACTGAGCCACCCACCTACCCCAGAAATTTGGTTACTTTATGTGACATGCATTTTAAAACAATAACCTGAATTATGACTGATAAAATTTATAGCAGGACATGTCAGACTTTAAGAATTTCAGGTAATTTCTGAAATGCTTATATGACTAACATATATTTATACAAATATCAGCTAAAGACTTCACTTTTTATTTGACAGTGCTTCCCATGGAATGTAACAAAACATAATTCACTTGGCATCTCTTTTATAAGGAGAGAAAACAAATCTTTTGAGATAGTCTACGGACCCTTTTTAAAATCCCAAAACTAGTTTGGAGTCAAAAGGACCTCATTTAGAATTTGATATTTGAGAAGCTTGTCAAAAATATCCAAAGATTTAAAACACCTGATCAAATAGGATCCAAGTTCACTGTGAAAACAGTACAGTACTTAGTTATCCATTTCTACCGAAGGGATAATTAAAAATTTCAGAGGCAGGTACAGAAAGTTACAGAGCTGCAAAAATGAAACTCAGTTCTTTTAATAGAGAAGACTCAGTTTTGTTTTTGTTTTTTTGTTTTAATGTAATCCAAGACTTGGTAAAGATGTAAAGCACAGGAAATTATTTTCATAAAATGCAGAATCTTTGCTTTGTAGGCAAAATACACGAAAAGTACAGAACAACCTTTGTTTACAATTCTTGTTAGGAGCGGACTGATAATCTAAAAAAAAAAAAGTTGTGAGTTTAACAGTGCAGAAACCAAATTCTACTTTTGTACCAGTGTACTTTTGATATTAAAATTCTTATTTTTTAAAACTTTAAGTAGGCTCCATGCCCAACATGGGGCTTGAACTCACAATCCCGAGATTAAGAATTGCATACTCCACCAACTGAGCCAGACAGGCTCTCCTAAAACTCTCTATTTCTTTTTTTAAATTTTTAAATGTGTTATTTATTTCTGAGACAGAGAGAGAGAGAGACAGCATGAGCAGGGGAGGGCCAGAGAGAGAGGGAGATACAGAATCTAAAACAGTCTCCAGGCTCTGAGCTAGCTGTCAGCTCAGAGACCGATGCGGAGCTCGAACCCATGAACAGTGAGATCATGACCTGAGCTGAAGTCAGACGCTTAATCAACTGAGCCACACAGGCATCCCCCCTCTCTCTTTTTTCTTAAGTTGAATAAATCCATTTCAATCTTAAGTTGACTACACATTAAATTTCTTTTTTAAGATCTTTTCCCACAAACCTGCAACATTCTTTAACCATTTAGATCTTGTTCTATCTTTTTCCTTTCTTATTCTGGAACAATCATTTTAATTTAAGACAAAATTACTTCTTTTTTCCCTTACAGAAAACACCCAAAACACCCAAAACCCAACAAAAACCCAACTCCTTTATACCTTTTCTTGTTCAAAAACACATTCAGAGAAAATGGAATGCATCCTTAGATTGGTAAGCAGAATTTGCTGAAAGACAAAATGACTCCAAAACACAGCTCCAAAAGGGTCCTTATAGGATGCAAATAGAGAGTCTTGCGCACAAACACGTTGGCCATCTGAGCAGGTATGCACAATAAAGCTGGAGAGTTTAGAACCTAAGAGAGAGAGCCCAGAATCCAGAGACTCACCTTCACACTTCAGGGTTGGCAAGAAAGTAGTGAGCTCAGTGGGCTCTGCAAATGCCAGGGTCTGTTTGCTCAACAGCCTCAGGGTCTGTGTGTGTGTGTGTGTGTGTGCGCGCGCACACGTGTGTGTTGGGGGAGGGGTGTCTTCTTTTGGATCCCACTTCTGACACCATGAAATATCAAAAGTCCTACATAACAGAAGTAAAACTGATGAATGGCCAAAGCCATCTTTACCGAGTTCATTGTGCACACACCAAAAAGACAGTTGGCAAAGCCAAGAGCACTCAAACCAGAACATGGAATGGGCTCGGGGCGGGGGTGTCCTCACAGAACAGACTCATGGTGAGAAAGCAGAGTGTTCATTCTCCACGGGGATCAGTTTTCATATCAGAACTTTCCTAAATGACAGGGAATTGGCTAGTGGCTCTTTTACTTCAACCTCGGTAAAAAGACTAAGCTTTGCTTCTGATTTTCAGAGGCACAGCAAGAAATGACTTGGGTCAACTTAGCCTCGCAAAATAAACTACCTTCTGCTTCCATGGTATGACCAAACTGGTTTTGTCTGTCAGGGAGTTTGCAAGGTTGAACTCTTGTTTGTTTTGGATTTTGACAGAGAGGTCCCCTCTCCAGCTCCATCTTCTACCTGGGACAGGACCAGGCTGCTCTCTCCTGGAGGACTGGGCCCTGATCTGAGGCCAGAGCATCCTTCCATGTCTACCTTTGCTGGGCGTGGGATTCCTCACTGCAACCATGAGTTGGGGTTTCAGCTGGACACCATTCCCCAGGCTTCTGGGTTTCCGAACCCTTCACATTGAGGCTGTGGTTGGAAGTCACTTATTACCATTTTATCTTGTTGTTTTTCCTATAAAAGAGAAAGAATTATTTTTACCCAAAGAGAAATCCATGGGGATGTCCAAGGCCGGGGCGGAGGCAATGCCAGGTGCCCTTTCCTCATTTGCGGGGCCTGCTAGTCCTTGGACAGGGAGGCGGGGCCTGCGATGCATCCACTCATCTCCTGTGATAGACGGCTAGCGTCGAGGGCACCGTCTCCAAAGAGCGAACTCCCGCTTGACTCCCTTTGCGAAGCCCTTGCTCCCATGGGGTCTCCCCAGGGCTCTGATGGGGCTGAGGGCCTGCGCGCCGGACCATCCAGGGACTTGGGGCTCTGGGAGGAGAGCAACGAGTCCAAGGCGCGCTGTTGTGGGCAACAGGGGTGCTCCCGGGCAGTTTTCCTCAGCCTGACGACTGTCACCACGCGGGGCCCTCGACACCTGTGGGCACAGGTGCAGGCGTGTGGGGCGGCGAGCCGGCTGCTCCCACAGCCGCGACACTACATTATCCAGAACAACGACCCGGGTGGCGCCCGAGGGGCCGCAGTAGGGCCGACGAGGGGCGGGGCCGATCCATGGGCGGAGCCGAGGGGCGGGCCGGGCGGCGCGCGGTGGGAGGGGCCGCGGGCGGCGGCGCGCGATGGGCGGGGCGGCGTGACGCGCGCCGACGCCGATCCCGGAAGCGGTGTCAGATGCTGGGGAGCCGGGCGGGCGGGCTGGCGGCGGGCGGCGGGCGGCGGGGGGGACTTGTTGTTCTTCGCGAAGTCGGAGCCCCAGCGCGCGGCGGAGGCGGCGGCCGAGAGGAAACGCGAGAGTGAGCGCGAGCGCGAGGAGAGCGCGTGCCCGCGAGGAGCCGCCGCGCGCCCGCGCCCCCCCGCGCGACGCCAGGTGAGGAGCGGCCGGGCCGGGCCGGGCAGGGGGCTGAGGGGCCGAGGCGGGGGCGGGTCCGGACCTCGCGCAGCTGAGTCACCGCCGCCTCAGACCCGCGGCGAAGTTGGGCGGGACCCCGAGACCCCGGCCCGCGCACCTGCCGTCAGGTGCCCAACCGCGAACGCGCCGCGCGGGCAGGGGCTCTTCTTTCTCAGGCCCGGGAGCGCGCCCTCGACCCTTGCCCGCCACTTGCCGGAGCCAGAGGCGGTGGTCCCTCCAGGGGGACGGGCTGGGGGTCGCGGGCTTTCTGGCGGGCCCGGCGCGCCCTGTCTGCCCTCCCCACCTGCTTCGCCTGAGCCCGCGGAGATCCGCTGCGAGGCGGGAAGGCGGGGGCGAAAATAAACGGCCACGTGCAGGGGAGCGCGTGGTCGCGCGGGGCCCACCCGGCCGCGTCCACTTGGGTGCTTCCGCTGGCTCGGCGGTTGCTGCCCTGCGGTGGCTTCCCACCCGCGCTCGGGGGGAGGGGGCGGGAGGGCAAGAAGAAGGGGACTCATGACCGATGTCACGTTCTGAGCAGCTGACCTGTCAGGGGTTCCCCGGAGGGAGGCCCTGATGTGGAAGCTTTGGGTGGGAAGGGGGATAGGGCGAACGTGTCCCTTCCCCTGAACCTCGTGGCCCGTGCGCCTCGGTTTCCTCATCGGTGAGTGGGGGTCTCCATCTTTTCTAAGTAACCTCGCGGGTTCCTCTGTGATCCTGCCGAGCTCGGGAAACTGTGTGCCAGGGTGCTGGCTTCCGCACACCTTTCCGGGAGCCTGGGCACGGTACAGGAAATGCGTCGCTCTCCACCTAGGTCTCCCTTAGGTAAAACAAACCGCCCTGCCTGCTGTCTCTGATCTGCTGCCCCGCCACGTGTTGTGGAGTCTCTGACAAAGGCTCAACATTGGGGGAGTTGGTGTCTGGGGCCGCTGGAAGTCCCTGCTCTCTGTGCTGTATTAATGACTGTGCTGCTGTTTACCTCTCACACTGCTCTTGTGGCCAGGGCAGAAGTGCTCCACTGCTGAACGGTCTTTGAGTGTGGAAGAGCGCCGGGCTCGGCCACCTTTCCTCACCAGGTGCCTGGCCCCAGGAAGCCCCCTGGTCTCAAACACCCACGCCCCGAACACCCACATCCCGCACAGCAGATAGAGTCATTGGGTTCCCGAAAGTGTGGCTTGCGTGTCCAGTTGCGCTGCCCTTTCTCCCTTAGTGGCGTCGGTTACGATTTGCTGTTATAGACCTCACTGCACAGGTATCTTGATAAAGGGCAGCTTCCTGCAGGGACGGCTCCAATCTGATGCCTTCTGGGGTGGGGCTTTTGAAAGTGTCCGTCTAAGCAGGTGGGAGGGGTCTGGAGGCGGAAGGTGGGCTGTGCTGGTGGAGGAGGCACACCTGCCACCCTCTGTTGCTTTGTGGGCAGCTGACAGCTTTGGGAGAACTTCCTAGGATAAGCCAGTGGGAATGTGTGCGTTTGAGCACCTTGAGAGAGTCTGCTTTTAGAACTTACACCAGGATCTCTTGTGGTTCCAAAATAGTTTACTAACTCGAAAACACAAAGGAAGCCTTCTCTCTGGAGCTCACTTGCCTTCCACGCTTGAACAGAGCTGGACTTTAAGGGACGCGTTCCAAGTTCAGCCACACTCACTTTCAAGGTGGTTGCTAAAAATGGGAGTTGAATCGGGGCTCCTCAGGGAAGTTGGTTCCGGGACTTGCTATGTTCCAGACCCGTCTCCAGCACCCCAGCTGCCGCTGAGCGAGGTCACTTTCCGGGCGTCTCCGTGCGTTTGTCCACCGCCCTACGCGCTGTCACTCTCGGGGCTCTGGTAACCGTAGAGTCTGTTTATCGTCTCAGGCAGCCGACCAGTCCTGCCTGTGTCCTGGCTGCTCCTGAGTCTAAAGGTTTCTGGAGTGGCCTTTCTGGCTTCAGGGGCCAGTCCACACGGGAAATGGAACCGGGCAGCTGTGAGCGTTCTCTGTGTGGCTGCTCCTCCGAGCAGTAAACAGTGACTCACCCTCCCCTCTGCTCCCCGCCTCCCTGCTCCCTGCTGATGGAAGATGCATTGCTCCCGTGTTTACTTTTGCTTTTTGTAAGTCGTGTTTCCTCTTTCTTACAGTTTCAGGAAATAAAAAGTGTTTTCTTCAAATCATAGTACTTCAGAGCAGGTAGAAGTGATGTAGGGATCGTGCCGTACACTACCCGTCCCCCCGCCCCCGCCCCACCCATTTTAGATGAGGACACCGAGCCTGAGGCCTCTGTACCTGGCCTGTGGCCACAGAGTCCAACATCCGGGATCTGGGGGGCACCCCACCTGATTTTCTTTGCTGCCTGTCAGCTGCCCTGGATGAGGGGAGGCTGGAGAGGGACTGAGGCTCCCAGAACCCCTGCCCTTGGGTGCGGTGCTGACACACATGCTCAGGCAGCATGCCTTTCCCTTGCCAGGTGGTGCGGTGAGCAGGTGTAGCTAAGAACATCCCCTGCCCTCCATCCAGCGAGGGAAGCAACCCTTGGATGGAAAGATCAGGATCAACTCTTAGGTGCAGCCCTTGACATGGGCTCAGGAGAGGGTGTCTTTCTACCACGGGGCGGGGCGGGGGGAAGCTTTGGGTGAAGCAAGGGTTGGGGTTGTGGGAGGAGGGTGGGAGCCCAGCATAGTCCGATGGGGAGGCTCCAGAAGCCAGAGGTGAAGGCTTGGAATGCGACAGGTGGTCCAGGCAGTGAGGAGCTCAGGAGGGACTCAGAGCTGGGGGTTCTGCCCACCCTGAGGCGTTACATTTGAGGGACAGAGGTCCGGACAGAGAAAGCCAGGAGGACTGAGGCCAGCAGGCCCGGCTCGTCAGGTGGCCGTGGCAAGGGGGATCGAGGTCTTGGGGGGTTTCTGCATGAATGGCGTGACGGGTCATCACCTGAGCTGGGGACACAGGAGGAGGGTGGGTGTGAGGACAGGGCGGGTCTCTGGGCCCTGTCAGACATGCCATCTGTTTCACCCTGGCTGCACGTGGAGGTTGGGTCTGGTGGAGCCCCTGGGCGGCTGTGGACCGACCAGAACCCCAGAGGGGAGCCTGGATACCAAACCACCCAGTGGAGGGCCAGGGCGTGGCCGGGGAGGTGAGGCGTTCAGCCTGCTGTCAGCCGAACAGCCGCCTGAGTCACCTCTGGACAGAGCCAGGATGACACAGCTTCCTCGAACTGCAAGCGCAAGGTGACCAGACGTCCTCCAAGCCAGGCAGACAGTCGTGCCCTGTGGGAGGGTGTGGGCCGGGCGGCTTGGGGGCCCAGCAAGCAGTGGCGGGACTCACCCCCCATGGCGAGGGGGTTGGACGGGACACGGACATCCAGTGTCTGGAGCAGGAGGGACGTGGGAGCCCTCCTGGTCCCCCCGGGGCCCGCTTTCAGTCGGGTGAGGCATCAGCTCGTGGGGCATGCTGGCCATGCTGACCTTGGCTCCAGGGGCAGGTGCGTCCTGTGGCGGCCCACTGTGCAGCTGGTGGGAGGGGCACTCAGCGCCCCCCCCCCCGCACCCCCCAGGACAGAGGCAGTCACATCAGTGTGGCTTTGTCTTTGGGGTTTGTACCCTGTGCGGGGAGTGGGAGGCCTGCTCCAGGACAGAACCCCTTCCTCCCTTCCTGTTTGTCTCCTGCCCTCCTCCCTCCGCCTGGGTCGGCCACCCTGGGAAGGCCTAGTGCAGCGGGCCCGGGGAGTGGCGGGCGCCTTCACTCGCACTGAACAGGAATGAGTGTTTTCTGAGAGACCACCCCGCTCCGTGCCAGAGCTGTGGCTTCATGTGCATGCGAAGCTCACTGTCTAGGCTATCTAACAGAGCTAAGCTAAGAGCCCTGCGGGACTCCGGACCCCATTTGCTGCCGCACCATCTAGACCTAGGGCTGTTTGAGCCCAGCTGTTGCTCCCATCAGCCACCTGGCTGTGGAGAAAGTGTGCCTCCCCTTCCCCCAGGCCCCGAGCCTGGGTCCAGCCCTGCAAGGGCCAGAGCACAGTGGGGATGACCTGGGGCCGTGAATCGCCCCAGATGAGCTGAATCAGACAGCGGGCAAGCTGTACATGTTTGCTGGGGGTAGAGGGTGTGAGGTCCTGGCCTCAGGAAGGGCGGTTCCAGACTGCCAAACTGAACTCCTGGCCCAGAAGGGAGGGCCGGCACCGGCTCCCCAGCTTACTCTAAACTGTGCAGTCCCCAGAGCTGAGTCCTGTCTGGGCTGCTGGCACGTGTCTCTTAGAGCTGTTAACCTCATTTAGGTGCGCGTCAGAAGTTTCTGACATCGGGCTGAAAACCAGTCTCTTCAGTTGGGGAAGTGGTCACCTGCAAGGTGTTGCAAGTTAGAGATGCAGCTTCTGGGGGGTGATGGGAGAGGGGTGTCGGGACTCTCACTGGGCAGGACAGCAGGTGCAGAGGACGCCCACCCGCCTTCCGGGGTCCCCGCCTGGCTCTGGCCACGGGGCCACTCGGGGAACCCAACCAGCTGGTGGAGAAGCCGGTGGGGAGAGCGCAGGCTGTGTGTGAGCATGATGTGGCCGGAATGTCGGTAACCAATGGTTGCGGGATCCGATGGCTGGAGCGTCCTCTGGGGAAGCTGCAGGGCATGGGTGATCTTCCGTACAGCAGTGTGGTGTCTGGCCCGCGGTGGTGGGGAGGCCGCATCACCAGCGCCCCTGCCCAGCCGATCCGGCTGTGGCCTCTAACCCTGGCTCGATTCCCCCCGAGACTCAGAACACAGTCCTTCCTGTGTGCACTGTGGTGACCATGGAGGTGGCCTGAGGTGCAGTGGTTTATAAATACATGTTTCAGGGCAGTTGTTTTAAATTTCTTTGTTTTACAAACCGTCACACACCCGAAACTTCCCTCTGAACCTGTTTCCGGAAGCAAACTGCCAGGTTTTTGCCTTTTGTGCGTGAAGTGACCTCAGGTCACTACTGCACGGACCTCGTGTGGCTTGGGTGGAGGTGAGCACTGGTGCCCTTTCTCCCCGTGTACTGAGGTCACGCAGGAAGGACGGCTGGGCCGACTCTGTGACCCTGAAGCTGGGCCCCTGGACCTGCAGCCCAGGTGTGCGCTGTGCCTCTTGGGCAGGACGCTCCTGCTTTCCACCAGTTGGCGCTGGTGTCCAGCACGGTGAGTGCTTGAAGAGGGGGCAAGAGCCGAGACCTGGCCTGTCTGAGGCCGTGGGGGCCGTGGGACAGCGCCCGTCCCTGCCTGGGACCTACGCACCTGTCCCAGGGCTCGGCTTCTCACGGGTGCCGATACAGGCCCCAGCGCCCTGGGGGTTGAGAGTGGAGCCCCCCCCAGGCAGGGTGTCTTCCTGCGTCACCCGCTCCGCCCGGCTGAGGCCTTCTTGAGCTGGACAGAACCCTGGGCCCCTGATTCCAATCCCTTCATTTTGAGAGGAAGAGAGTAAGATCCACTGAGAGAGCGCTTTGCAGGGTTGTTCCCTAGCCTCATCTCTCCACTTACTCCCATCTGCTCTTCGGCTTCACGTTCTTGAACAGAAGGTCTGAGAACTGCAGAGGTCAGACCCCAGTGTGGCACCTGCCCACAAAGAGGCATCCCTCCTTCTTGGAGCCCAGGCGGCCCCGGGGCCCTCTCTTCTCTGTGTCCTGCCCCCAGAAGGCCAGGCAGCTGGGCGAGGTGGGTGTAGAGCTGGTGGACATAGGGCTTTGCCCAGGTGACCTCGACTGTGCAGATGCAGCCAGCTGACCCTCGTGGGCTCTGAGTGGAGGGGGGACGCGGAGCCCGGTGCTGCGCACATCCTGCTTACCTGGGCCTCCCCACCATGCACCGTCACACAGGGAAAGTCCCAGAGGAGGTGCACCTGCCCCAAATGCAGCACGTGGCCCTGGCTGCTGGCCCAGCCGGCCTGGCACAATCACCGGGGGGTGAGGCCCAGAGACCCCTGTCGGGTCGGAGTCTGAGTGGAGTCCCTCCTGTGCTGGGGCTGGGCAGACTGGGCGGTCCGTGCAGGGCAGGGTGGGAGGGCCTTGGGTCTGTGGGAATGTGAGCTCCTCGCTGGATAAACAGCCGTGACTCACCGCACAGCTATGCCCCGGCGGCTCCGGGCCCTTGTGCGCTGACGTGTGCTGGAATGACAGCCGGCCACCCCTCCTGCTCCCGTGGAAAAGTTTCTCATGGCTCCGCCGGCCCTCCAGGTGGCTTCTCCAGCACGGTCTGACCCTGGCACCCAGAGGGAGGGGCTCTCGGGTCTGTCGCACCCCTGTGGATGCTGGGGGTCAGGCCACTGTCAGGAAGCAGCTTCTGCTTGCTGCCGGGGTCAGCCCTGTGCTGTAGCGCATCAAATCTCCCGAACTTGGCGGGGGGGCGGCACAGAGGAGCCAGGAGCCTCCTGAGGGGATACCTGGCCCCGCCTGCTGCTGTCCTGCTCTCCATCTTCCATCGTTGGTGCCCAGAAGAGTGGCCATGTTGCCAGGGGCGACAGTGAGCCAGGCTGGTGGGGGACGGGTGAGGTCTAGGCTCTGCTATACCATGGGTGCCGCGGCTGTGGGTGAAGGAGGGCAGAGTGGACACCGTCGGCCTGAGGAGTCCCACTCGCCCCCAGGATGGGAGGCTTTGCTGTGGCTCCGTCTCAGGCCCAGGCCTCCCCCATTCCCCTGTGCATTTTCTGATGCTGTCTCCGCTCGTTCACTTTGCCTGGCGTTTGGAACGTGGACCCTGGTTCCTAAGCCAGTGACAGAGTGTGTCAGCAAGTCCAGAGCCTGGGCCCCTCCCGTCTCCCCGGCCGCTGGGGCACACGGGTTTGTTTACTGTCCCACAACCTGTGATGTCTGCACTGGCCTGCCCAAAGCCATTGTTGCTGTGGGCTTCTTCGTTTCCATGACGACCATCAGGGGTTGGCTACTTCCCAAGGTCGCCATGGCAACTATCAGAGGGGAATCATGCTTGGGATGCTTTGGCTGGCTTTTTCATGAATGATTAGAATGTGTGACACAATGCAGACGCCAAAACCAGAAGGGCGGGCAGCAGTGGGGGCTGGCGGGCGGCGGGGAAGGCTCCCGCCAGACAGTCGGTGAGCTCGCGAAGTGGCGACTCCTGCCTCCCAGATCCTGCGGGCCTCAGGTCAGGGCTGTGGGGCATCCTGGGGGGCGGTGATGTCACAGCTGCAGTGCCCTTGGCGGAGGTAGGTCCGCTGGGGAGGGTGGAGCTGCATCCATCCCTAGGGGTGTGCTGGGCACAGGAGGGGGCTCCCTGTAGGGGTCCTTCCTCTCTGGAGCCAGTCCGGGTCAGGGGTGGTAACGGGGGCTCTTGCCAGGGCGGGGGCCATCCTGGGGGCCAGCGGTGGCCCTCAGGTGCTAGGTGAGGCCGTTCCCGGGAGGGGGCTTTGGGGCTGCGCACTCTGGCTCTTCAAGCGCGGCACCCTGTGCCTCGAAGGTGCCAGCGGCTCAGCTCAGAGGGAGAGTCGGGACAGGAAGCAACAGCCTCTCAGGCCTGGTGCCCCCCAGGCACGGCGGCACGGGCCTGGGAGGGCGGGGGTAGTACGGACAGTTGTGCGGGGGCCAGGGTGGGTCCGGGTTGTTCCGTGGGCTAAGGCTGGACTGGGCAGTGCGGCCAGGGTGCCTACCCTGCGGGGAGCCTCCTTGCAGCTTCTCTGTGGTGGGGATATCCCCTCTTCAGGTCACTTGTGATGGCTACAGGCCCTGTCCCCAGCCTGTCCGGGACTTAACCTCACTCATTTCTGTTTCTTGTCTGATTTCCTAGATCCAGTTTCCAAGCCCTTCTGTTCGGGTGACCGTGCCCAGGTTATGACGACTAATCCCAAACCAAACAAGGCGTTAAAGGTAAGTGGGGGTGGGGGTGAGCAGACCCCATTTCTGCCTCGGACTCAGGCATGGGAAAGGTCTGTTCCAGCCCCAGCAAGCCCCTCCTTTCCATGATTGCCTTGAGTGTGAAGAGGGAAGCCCTGTCCCCTGGAATCAAGTGGGGGCTGTCGGCCAGCAGAGGTGTCACAGGGTGGTGGTGACAGAATTGGGGAGTGTGGCCTCAGGAGATGCGGGCTCTGGTGGTCGGCAGGGGAAGGGGGGGTGGCTTCTTGGGAGGGAGTGGCAGGTGTGGATCCCTTCTGCCAGGATGTGCTCGTTCCCGGCAACCAGGGGTGGGCAGTGTGTCCCCCGTCCTACAGAACCGCTGGCAGGGCATGTGTGACCCTCGCCCCTCCAGATCGTGGGGCCTGACTCTGGCCGTGCCCAGCGTGCTCCCCCCCTGGGCCCTCCTAGCTCCTGAGGCCGGCGAGGGATCCCGGGTTGGCTATCTCGTCTCAGTGGCAGAGCCGGGTCTGGTAGGAGAGTGGACCCTCCGTGCATCCGTGGGCCGTGCACATCCAAGCCCCTTCTGAGGTCCCACTTGGTCCAAGGGGTACGGGAGGATGGGCTGCTCTGCCTTCCTCTTGCTCCCCTGCCTGTGTGGGCCCTGTACCGGGTGCTGGAGGGTCACGGGGTGCAGCACACACGTGGGCCGTGACCTCACACGTTCTGGGCAGCTGGTGGTAACCAGGTGATTGCCAGGTGTAGCCGGGGACCCGTCAGGGAACCCCCCTGCATTCTGCCTGCGTGACGTCAGTAGGCCCCCCAATGACTGTCTCCGCTTCCCTGACGGAGGCGTGAAGGCTGGCTTGGGAGGCACAGAGGTCTTTCTGCTGCCTGGCAGGTGCGTGGCTTTGCTCTGGCGTAGATGTGCCAAGCTGCCCTCTGAGGGCCTTCCCGCCACCCCGTCCCAGGCGTGCCTACGCCTCCGTGCTGACCGCCATGCCGCGGCCCCCGCAGGTCAAGAAGGAGGCGGGTGAGAACGCCCCGGTGCTCAGCGATGACGAGCTGGTGTCCATGTCAGTGCGGGAGCTGAACCAGCACCTGCGGGGCCTCACCAAGGAGGAGGTGGTCCGCCTGAAGCAGCGCCGGCGCACGCTCAAGAACCGCGGCTACGCTGCCAGCTGCCGCATCAAGCGGGTGACGCAGAAGGAGGAGCTGGAGCGGCAGCGGGTGGAGCTACAGCAGGAGGTGGAGAAGCTGGCCCGGGAGAACAGCAGCATGAAGCTGGAGCTCGACGCGCTGCGCTCCAAGTACGAGGCCCTGCAGACCTTCGCCCGCACCGTGGCGCGTGGGCCCGTCACCCCCACCAAGGTGGCCACCACCAGCGTCATCACCATCGTCAAGTCCGCTGACATCTCCTCCACCTCCGTGCCCTTCTCGGCTGCCTCCTAGTGGCCAGCCGCGGGGGGGGGGGGGCGCCGGAGGGGGCGGACAGTGTCTGGGCGGGCGGGGGCGGTGGCTGGCACCTCCCTGGTGCCCATCAGAGGGTCCATGGGGAACGGACCCCTGGCACCCGAGTCGGAGCGCAGACCCCCGGCGGGGACGAGGCTGCGGGTGCCGGCTGCAGACGGGCTCTCATGAGACCGTGTCACATGCCTTCCCGCACGCACGCGCACATGCACACGCACACGCATGCACCTGGCCCCTCTCCGGGCCTGCCCGTGCTCTCCAGATGGTTTCCAGGGGTGTGTGTCTCGTGCCAGGGGGAGTCAGGATGTTTGGAGGGAAGGTCCTCAGAAGATTCCGGGTCCTGTGGCCCAGGTGGCAGGGGCTCTGCCTTCCACCCCACCCAGGAGTGGCCGGCGGTGTTCTGGTGGCTGGTGCGGGACCCCCTTCCTGCCCTGACTGAGCTCTGGTGCCCCAGGAGGGACCGTTAGTCCCTGGTGATGAGCAGCACTCTGACCCTGCTTCAGCCTCACCAGACGGCTGCGCCTGTGAGGCGTTTGGGGCTGGGGGGGGGGCCCGGGCCCGCAGCTGGAGGACTGTGCACATGCGCCTGGGGGCCACCTGCCGTCACACCGTTGCGCCGGCAGCACAGAGCCTCGGAGGGCAGGTTGATGTGAGCAGTCACTTTGGGGCCTCCGGGGTCCATGTGCAGAGAGCTGCCCAAGGGCTGGGGTTGTCCCCCTCCGGGAGTGACCCTAGGGAGGTCCCACTGGGGAGCTGGCTGGGAGCCCTGCGCAGGGAGGCAGGGCAGGGTCTGGGGGCAGAAGCAGAGTGTTCCCTGCCTGTTCCCTGCCTCCCTGCCTCGGAATGCCCCGCCCCGCCGCAGCAAGGACGGGTGGAGTCCGAGGTGAAGAGGGTGTGATGGCTGAGGAGACAACTTGAGGCACCGGGCCAGGACCTGCCTTCTGAGGGCGCCTGGGCAGTCTGTCTGTGCAGAGGACAAGGGGACACAGCCACCTTGGTGCTTATTCCTCGCCTGAAACTTTCACCTGCTCTTTCTTTCTGACACTTGGAGCCCCTGATGACCTCGGTGACCTTTGCTGGGCTTCCGGCTTCCTCTTGGCCTGCCCCCCCCCCCCCCCCCCCCCCCCCCCCCCCCCCCCCCCCCCGCCAGCTAGGGAGACCCGAGAGAGCTGCGAGGGCCCGTGCAGGAAGAGGAGGACCAGGTGGGACAGATGGCCCCGAGCTCCTGATGGAACACGTCTGGGTCTCTCCTCCAGCACTGCCGTGTGGCCTCAGCCTTGTCCTCGTCCTGGGGGAAGGTGGGGGGTCCAGGGTGTGCTGGATCCTTATGGAGCAAAAGGCCCAGTGTGTAAAAAAAGAAAAAAAAAAAGCTGTCGATACCATAGCCATGGTAGGTAATCCACATTGGATATCAATAAGGACCACGGGAAAATATTTAAAAGAGAGAAAAGTATATATATATATAAAATTATATACACATTTTATCGTACAGATTTTTCGTAACTTTTTTCCTGTTTTTACTGTAAATCCGTAATCGAGCAGAGCTGTGGTCAGAGTAGGGTGGGGGCGGGGGCTGGTTGCCCCTCCCCCCGCTCCTGGCTCTGAGGACAGAGGCCTGGGCTGCCTGCCGCTGCCTGCCACCCTCGCCAGTGCTGGCGCCCTGGATGGGAGCTCCCCACCCCTGCTCCTGCCTGGAGGGGGCTCCTGTCACTGCCCGAGGCGCCTCACTGCGCCTGCCGGCTCCCGGGGACCAGGGGCAGGAAGGAGACTGGATCGTTCTCTCATGCCTTTCCTTTCAGCTCATTGAGGTTTCATTGTCCCCGTTTTAATATATGGATTTGTTTTATTTAAGAGAAAAGGCAAGGACCTCTGTTCCTCGGGTTTGTTTTCCTGATTCCTGTGCTTCAGACTCATGGGGTCCTTCCCAAGGGAGGCAGCCCCTCTGCCCTCCCAGGGAACAGGGCCTTCCGTTCCCTGGCCTCGGCCACTCAGCTGTTCCATTTCAATATTTATTTTTGTGCTGCTTTTACCGTGGTGTAAATTATTGAGAAGAGACCCTACGTCGTGGTCTTGTCCGTATGACGCGTGCCCCGCGCCTGCCCCGCCCCATGGCCACCACCTAATTTATTGCTGTGCATCTGCTGTGACGCTTTTGTACCTTTGCAATAAAGAGTTTTCTGGTTTCAGACCTGCTTGGGCTTGTGATCGGTGCTTTGGGTCGAGTCCCCAAGCATGGGGGGCTGTTGGATGCATCTGGCCGCTGCACCCCCACACCCCCACCCTTGATGTGGTGACCCTCACATGTGGTAGGTCTCTTAGGCTGTGAGGCTGTTGGGACAGCCACAGCATGTGCAGGGTCAGGCAGGTGCCGGTGGCCAGCCGGCCTTCTGGATGGTGGGCACGGTTCCTGAGGGTCCCATCCCCCTGCCAAGGAGCCCCCAGCTCTCCCTCCCCAGCCTTCCCACTCCATCTGGGGCTGTTCCCTCCCACCCCTTGGGCGGCCTGTGCCCCCCCTCACTCCCCCCAACCCCCCCACCCCCGCCTCGGACCAGGTCTTACAGGAGCGGGGAGAGGGACGGTCCGCCTGGGGTGGGCAGCAAAGTGCCCTGCCTGGTAGCCTAAAGTAAGAGCAGAGGGCCCATTCTTGGGATGCTATCCCCTCCTCACCGGTCTTACCTTCACACCATCCCTCCAAGGGGCAGAGGTATCCTCGTATCCTCGTTCAGCCTTAACTGCTAAAGGAGGGTGGGCTGGCGGGTGGGGCCTTGGGGTCTACAAGCCCCGCCCGCCCACCTGCCACACCTCTGCCTGAGCTGACAGTGGCTCCTGTGGTCACTTGAGGGGGGTTGGGGGGATGCTTCGGGCCAGCCCCTTGGCTGTAACCTCTGAGTGACAGAGGGCCCATCCATCTCCTTCCTAGCCGAGAGCTGCCTTCTGTGAACTCGACAGGGTGTGCCAACACGGCGGGGTCACCACAGCCCCCGGCCTGCTCCTGCTGCCGGAGCCCTGAGGTGGCCGGGCGGCTGCAACTGGCAGCATCCCTGTGGGTGTGAGCGGGACAGGCCCTGTCCCTGGCCCCTGGGAAGTTAAGGATACCCCTCCGACCCGCCCTGGCCGGCCCCTCTCCAGGCTGCCTCATTCAGTATTGGATTGTTGGGGCTGTTTCCCAGATGAGCGCACGGAGGCCAGTACAAGTTAGATAAGCCGGCCGCTCCTGGCTGGGGCAGTGGGACCCAGAACTGGAAGCTGGCCCTGCTGTCCTAGGTGGTGAGTTGCGTCTCCTTCCCCTCCTACAGGGGGTGAGGTCGGTGAGGGGGTGCAGCGGCTATAACCTTGAGGCCCTGTGCCGCCCTGCAGGTGTCTGGGAAAAGCGGGGCCTCGCCTGGGCAGAGGTATCTGTGGGGGCTGGGCAGGTGGGGGATCTGGCCTTTGGGGGGGTTGTGCACCTTGTGCTGGCTCTGTGACCACAGGCACGTGGCTTAACCTCTCTGGGCCTTGGCCACCTTTCCCGGGGCTGTCGTGAGGATTAAGTGGAGGCTGCTTCCTACAGTGGGTGCTCAGTAAATGCAGACTCCCCTCACCCCAGAGTGCCAGGCTGACCAGAATGTCCCCGGCACACAGGCCTGGCCGGAGGGTGCCCCTCAGCCAGGAGTCCACAGTGCATCTGATCTTTCGAAAGGGGTCTTTGCCCACTTACCCCATGCACATAGCGTCAGGCACCTTGCGCCCTGAAGGGGTGGCCCTTCCTGGGCACGGGCCTGCAGGGCAGCCCCCTCCCGCACACGATGGGGCTGGCACCTCATCTCCCGAAGCCTCCACACAACCTCCCCTGTGGTCCACAGGCCTCTGGAGGAGGCGCCGTGCCCGTTCCCAGACCTGCCCACTGACGCCTGCGGGGCCCACCAGCTGCAGAAGGCGAGATAAGGCAGGTGGGGGCCTCACCAGCGAGGCGGTACTCAGGGAGGCGGCCTGGCCTATCTCCTTGCACAGCCCATCCAGGCCTTGGAGAGGCTGTGGCCTTGAATCCCATGTCTTCAGGACTAGGGAGCAGGGAGGCCTTGGGGTGAGCCCAGGCCGGTAGTAGGCTCCTGCCCTGCCGGGTCTCTGGACCCTCAACGCCTTTCCCTCTTTGCCCAGGGACAGGGCTGGGAGGTCATCACAGGGCGGCCCCCACCAGGCTGCTCCGGCCTGGCCGTGGCCCTGGCTCCCCACGCCCGCGGGCTCTTGGGCGCCCAGGCCCCTGCCCCTGGCCTCCTCCAGACACAGGCCCTCAAGGAGGCCTCCCCGTCCCTCTGGCTGCTTCTGGCCCCTCTTTTGTGTCTCCCAGGCCGCTTGGGCGCCTCACAGCTTCTGGAGGGCAGGGCCTCTGTCTCGTGGGGCGCTGGCCTGGTGCCCGGGAGAGAAAAGGCCAAGGGAGGGCAGGTACCAGGTGTGGCCCCGTCTGTACCCCGCGCCTTCTCTGGGCTTGCGTCTGTGGCCTTCACCCACTCACTGCGGGCAGGGCTGGCCGGAGGCCCATCTTACGGAGGGAGGGGAGGACTCTGGTTCTCTTGGGGCCACAGGGTAGGGCACTCCGTCTACATGTGAGCCCTTTGCCCTGCTCTGCTCTGAGCATCACCCACAACGCTTCCCCCGATGCCCAGAATTGGCACAGTGGGGCACATGTGACCACCCACTGCAGCCCGTTCATCGGGGCACCGACCCTGCAGAAACAGAGGCCACCAGGGTCACTAGAAAATGCAGGCTGTTTATGTATAAATAGGTGTGATTCCCCTGGGAGCCCCGCATGCTTCTTGGGCTGCCCAGGGGGAAGGTTCTGTGCAGGTGGCCCTGGGCACCTCCTAAGACCCTCGTCAGACATGCCTTCCTGGGGTGGGGGCTTTTCAGGAATCTCCAGGGCCGGAGGGGGTGCAGAGCAACTCGGCCCTTCTACGGCCGCGCAAGGCCCAGCCGAGTCCCCCGCCGCCAGCAGCTCCCGTGTCCTTGGGGCAGGGCTGCCTCCCTCTCCCAGGGCTGTCCTTCCCGTAGGACCCAGCATGGAGTCTGTCCATCTGGCCTGGCCCTACCTCTCAACAGCCCCATGATGGCCAGGTGAACCCAGTGGGTTCCCGGCTCATCAGATAAACTCGGGCACCCTCTCCTGGGGCTACGGGCCTGCTGGAGGGTGGCAGGCTGGGAAGTGGCAACACCGGCCTGGCAGCAGGGCTCCTGGGAGAGGCTTCACCTTTGGCAGGAGGGCGGGGGCCCTGTGTTCTCCCAGGGCCTGGGTGCAGCCTGGTTGCAGGCAGGTGGCTGGTTACCCCCGGGGGCCTCCTACAGGTCTTCTGCAGGGATCAGCATTCTCTTCTCCACGTTCCGACTCTTCCTGAGCCCACCAGAACCTCCGGCGGCACTGGGGTGGGCACCAGGGCTCGGGGCCTCGTGAGTGGCCTGCTGGGCGTAGTGCTGATAGGCGGGTGAGAAGTTGTGGACGGCGTCCTGCACGATGTCCTGTGGGCTCATGGTCTCCTTGAGGCCGCTCGAGATGCTGTGCATGGGTGCCTCGGGGGCTGGGGGCAGATAGCACAGGGGTGGGGCTAGGGTGCCCTGGCCCTGTCCTCCCCTGTGTGCCCCGGGCCCTGGGGACATGGCCCCACTCCCCACCGGCCTCGGGGCTGCCCAGGGCTGGAGTCTGGCCTCTCCAAGCTCTGGGCTCGGCCAGTAGGGGTACTTCAGGACCTCTAAATCCTAGCCTGGTTCCTCTAGTCCAGGACTGTCCCAGCCCAGACTCCCCAGTGGCCACATGGGGAAGCCACCTTGGCTGGCTACTGTCTTCTCTCCGGCCTGGAGTGAACCTTTCACACTTGGGGTCACTCTAGGTTGCTGAAGCAGCCGCAGGCCATCTCTGCCACCCAGGGTCGTTCACTACAGATGCCTGGGTCCATGAGTATGGTGGGCAGGGCTCCCCAGGCTTGGGAGGCCCCGACACCCTGCCCTCACAGCAGGGGCCCTGGGCTCAGAGGTCTAGGCCAGCCACTTCACCCAGAGCTCAGAGCCGCCCGCCTGCTTTCCCTGGGCCAGATACAGGTGCCCCACCTGTCTAGGGTCAGGGTCCTCCCATGGGGCTATCCCCCATCTGTGTTGCTGGCAATTCTGGGTCCATGCAGGGGAGGGAGGGACACAGATGTGGCACTGAGGTGCCCAGAGGCAGGCGGGCTGGCTGGGCCCCTCTGCAGGCCCTCACTGTGATGTCGAAGCAACCCCTGCCCCTGCAAGGCCCACGCACTCCCGCCCCCCCCGCCCCCAGCAGGGCCCCCATGCCCCCACCCCTCCCCGAAGGGCCCACGTACCTGGCGAGCTCTCCTTCTCCGCATATACCTGGACAGTGAAGGCGTAGCGCAGGGCAATGGATGCAAACAGCATCTCGATGCAGATGATGAAGTTTTGGTAGCCGGCAGCCAGCGTGCCGGCCCCCACCTCGCTCCCGTCGATGACCTGGGCCTCAGGGATGACCCCACACTTCTCCAGAATGGCCAGCAGCAGCCCTGGGGGGTGGTGATGGCCACTCAGGCACCTGTCCTACACAGGCCTTTGAGCTCAGTGGGCTCTGCAGCAGGACGAGGGTAAGGTCCTAGGGCATCCCATCCATGTAGTCCTGTTCCCACTGGGGGGTGGTGTTGGGGGGGGCTGAAGTTCACGGGGGAGGGGAGTGCCTCCAAAGCCAGGGTCGCAGCACAGAGGCTGTCTGGGCACTCCCCAAGCGTCTGCCCTGACCTCCCTGGTCCCAGAGCTGGGCCACCCACCCCAGCCCCACCCCCACTCTGTCTGGTGGCTGCCCTCCTCTGCAGAGTGGGGTCTGGGAGCACCCCTAGCCTGGCCCAGGGCCTCTGCTTGTTCACTCCACGCACAACGGGCCAGACCTGCTGGACAGGGACTCGATGTTTCCCCTGAGTGGGGGGCTGTGTGGTTTCTGGCTTGGGGGGTGGAAGTACTGACCTATGCTACAACCAGGGAAACTAAGGCCAGGCCTAAGGGCACCCAGGAAACTAGGGGCGGAGGTGGGGTTGGGACAGGCTCTGGGCAATAGCCCCTGCCCCCACAGCCCACCCACCCTGCCAGAAAGAGAGGAAGATGACGGCCTTGATGGTGAAGAACTTGAGGACAGGCTCGAAGGGCTGCAGGAGCTCCCTGGTGGCGAAGTAGAAAAGGAACAGGGCGTAGAGGGCCAAGCTGACGGAGACATTGTAGACCAGGGTGATGTAGAGGTAGCCGCTGTGGATGCTGGGGCCAGAGCAGGGGTCAGGGGTCAGGCCAGGATCCTGCCCTGTGCCCTCCCCACTGTCCCAGCCATACTACTGGCCTCTGCGCCCCAGCTGTGACCCAGACCTGGACCTTCCCTGCAGGGCGGGCAGACGGTACCAATGGGCAGCCGGGAGGGAGCTGGGGCATCCCAACACGGTGGTGAGGAGGTAGCCTTTCTCCCCACAAAGCCCCACGTGCCCCTGTCCACCCCGGCACAGCCGGTAGGAGCCACCTCTCCATTGCGGACACATGGGTGGGCATGTGTGACCGTGTGTGTGCAAGTGGGTGTGACCTGTGGGTGTATGTTCACATGCACATATTAGTGTTGTATGCATATAAGCATGTGGGCTGCTGGGTCTGTGTGTGCCCATACATGTGCAGGGGCTGGCCAGGGTGTGAATGCATGCGTGTGAGCACGTGTGCACCTGTGTTCACAGGGCTCCTTCCGGTACCAGGGGAGCACTGCCCACCTTCTCTGCTTGATGGCTCCCTTGGCCCAAGTGCCTTAAACCCCCCTCATTCTCCTCCGGGTGGGCCGGCTGCAGGCTGCGCAGTCCCAGGGTCCTCGGGGCACACGTGGGTCTGTCTGCCACAGCCTCCCCCTGGCAGTTTCCCGAGAGGGAGGGAGGCCTGTCCGTTCACATGAGGACTTGGCTCTGCGCCGAGCCCTCCCCTGGGCCCTGCCTACCTCCACCGAGCTGGGCGTCCCCTCCAGGCTGGGCCCGCCCCCTCCCTGCAGGCAGCCTGGCCTTACTTGAAGTCCCCATCGTGGTATTTGCCGAACGCCTGTAGGACGATGGTGACCACGGCCATGATGGGCTTCACGATGCAGAACTGCAGTGTGGCCTGAGGAGGAGAGGGGAGCGTGGGAGCAGTCAGGGGGGGCTGGGAGGGAAGGGCCAGGGGCAGGCAAGACCCCCACTCACCTGCTTGCAGAAGCGCAGGAAGCCGATGGAGTAGGACATACCCTGGAGGCAGCAGGTGCCGTAGATGCAGCTGGACCTGAGGTGACAAGTCCCTGAAGCAGGGCCCCAGGAGGGCGCATCCCCAGACCCCTCTGCTGCCCTGGGTGTTCAGGGACCCCCATGGACTCCTGGGCGAGAGGCTTACCGGACGGGCTTCCCCCGAATCTCAGCCATGATAGTGCTCTCGCCCCCCAGGTACTGGAAACAGAGGCTCAGGAAGCTGTAGATGACAAAGGCTGCAGGGGGCGGGACGGGGCAGGCGGCAGTGAGCCTGGGGTGCCCGGAGACTCTGGCCACAGGAAGGCTTCCTGACCCCCCGCCTGCACACGTCAAGGACCCTCACGAGCTTTGGGAGCACACGCTGTCCCCGGCAACCCCGGTGCAGGCAGAGCTCTTGGCAGTCACTGCGGCAACGGTGCCCCACCCAGGGCCCAGGACCCTCCTCGGCATCCCTAATCCTCACCGTCAGTCAGGCAGCCCCCTTGCATGGGGCTGGACCAAGCTGTTCCCAGCCCTGGAGGATGGGGCTCCCGAGGGGGCCTTGCTGTCTCCCAGAGCCAGGAGGCGCTCACCTTCGTAGCAGTCACGCACCGAGTCGAAGTAGACGTAATGCTGGTGGCCCCCCAGGAGGAGGAGGCTGAGCCAGGAGTCAAAGGCGTAGATGGGCACAATGAAGAGTAGGCGGACGATGTAGCGCTGCTCATTGGGGACCGTGTAGGAGCGCAGGTGCAGGTAGATCTGGGCGGGCAGAGCAAGGGCAGGTGTGGGGGCAGCGGGCCAGAGGGGCTGTGGGAGACAGCGGCGTGGACCTCCCTGGGCGTGGCGGCCCCTTCGTAGCGGACATGCTCACTGACTCATGCATGCACCTACCCCTGTGTTCACTCATTCAAGGAGAATTTCCTTGGGGGAAGGAAGGCATCATGGCCCCTGAGAGGGCAGTTTGGCATTTCAGTGTGGCGGGCCATCGAGAGGGCCAGTGCCCTCGACCTGTCTCTAGAGCGGACACATTCAGGAGGAAAGGGTTTGAGTGGGAGGCTGTTCCCCACAGCGACGCCGCGTCGGGAGTAGCTGCCGGGGCCACGCATGGCCCTGGGGCCAGGCCGCTCACAAAGGGCCTCACACAGCCAGCAGAGGTGGCGTCCCAAAATGCCCATGTGGGGACCTGCTCTGAGGTACGGTGATGAGTAAACAGCAGGCAACAAACCAAGGATGGTCCTGCGTGCCTTGGAAATGTGTGGCAGACATGAAACGAAAGATCATTGCCTTGTCCCCGACAGGAAAATACAGGTGATCATCATTTGTCTATAAGCCTTTCTTGATTTTCCACGTCTTCTGTGAGGATGTGAAAAACCAGTGACAGGGTCTTGACGAGGAAGAGGACAGGGCTGACTCTGGAAGGTCTCCTGGAGGAGGTGCCAGGCGGAGAAAGGGCAGCGGATGGGGAGGCTGTGTGTGCAGCCCTGCAGGGAGTGGCGGGGGTCGGGGGCAGGCTGGCTTCCCGAATAGGCTCCTTATCAGTCCCTCACTCCCAGCTGGTGCAGTGGGCGGGGCAGGGCATGCCAGCCACTAGGAGATGTGGATTCTGCTCCTGGTGCCAGTGCTGTGTGGCCGGTGGCCTTGGCAGGCGCTCCCTGTCCTCTCTGGCTTTGCCTTCCCGTCTTAAAAGCGAGAGGCTGAGTCTCTCCCTGTCCTTCTGGGCTCTGGAAGGGCAAAGTCTGGCTGCCCTCGTGCTTCGGGGGCCTGGCAGTGTGGGCGGGGATGTGAGCTGCAGTCCACGGTGGGGAGGGGGTCCCTGACTACCCCATCTAGGCGGTGGGACTCAGGAAGCACACACACACACACACACACACACACACACACAGTCGCCAGCACTGCAGGTTAGGGTTACATGGAGGGGAAGCTGAGAGTGGACCCAGGACTTTGCTGCTCCCTGCTCTACAAACCACAGCCTCCCCCAGACCCCAGACCCAATACCACTCCTCCAGGGAGTAGGTGGGGCACGCACTATCCGCCTGTACAGTCTACCTGTCCAGGGGCCCAAGGGAGGCTCGGTAGGTCTCAGTGCCTCCTCCAGGCTGTCCTCGATGGCCCCTGTGGCTCTCAGCTGCACTGTTCTCCACCGGCCCCCATCACACACTTGTGTCCACCATATATTGTGGTGATTTGAGGCCACACAGCAAGCAGCTCTCACCCCTCTCTGTCTCAGAGGCCTCTGGGCCACTCAGCCCCCTGCCTGCCAGTCTCCTGACCACCCCAGCAGGGTGGGGAGCTCACGCCGACAATCATTCCTCCCCCAGTGCCGGCTGAACCATCCCCAAGGCCATTTCTGCCCTCAGCAAACCCTGCCACCTTCTCTGGCTCCCACACCCCCCAGGCTGGAGGCCAAACTCCAGCTCTTCTGCATCCTGAGTGCCTGCTGCCCAGACGGCACTCTCCCTGGCTGCATACGCACTCTGCCTGCCACCTCACTCTCGCCTCCGCCCAGCCCCTGCGCTCAGGCACAGCTCTGCTGCCCGCACCTGGCTCTTCCTCACCGCCGGGACTGGCCATCCCTCCCCCCGCAGGGGCTGCCCTGTCTGCCCCAACGTCACTGCCTGGGGAGGTGGGGGGGATTCGTGCAGCTCAGGCCCGGCATGTGGTGTCTCTCCTCTGCTTCCCCAAATCAGAGGGGGCAGCCCCTTCTGACGCCCTGTCCTCCCCGCCCAGCTCTGTCCCCAGCACAGACCTCCCATCCCTGGCTCCCACACGCCATGTTCTGGAGAAAGCCTCCTCCCCTGTCCTTGGGGCCTGGCCTGCTCTGCCTCTGATGTCTGCCCCGAGGGCATGGCTGGAGGTCGCGGATCCCCGCGGGGCCAGCCAGGACCGTGTCCCACAGAGAGTGGGGTCCCCATAGAGGCGCAGAAGGGAGAGCTTACCTGGTGGCAGGTGAGCACCAAGGCAGTCCACACAAAGACCCCTGAGATGCCGCGGGCCAGCGCGGAGGTGAGGAAGAGCTGGGAGGCGCACTGGGAGCTGTTCCCCATGCGGTCCATCTGCGGCCCAGCAGGCACAGTGGGCACGGTGGGCACGGTGGGCATGGCCGGCCTGGGACTGGGCTGTGTCCAGGTCGCCGACACCAGGGGGCCGCCAGCTGTTCCCAGGAGCCTGGAGGCGTTAGTCATCTGTAGAGGTGAGGGAGGACACGGGGAGGAGTGAGGGCAAAGGTGTGCCCAGGCAGCTGGGAGCAGCCCAGGACCGGCTGGGGGAGGAGGGAGTGGGGGCAGGGAGGAGGCCCCAGGCACCCCTCACCATCCCTGCTGTCGGAGCTGGAGTCTGGCTGGCTTGCCTGCTCGCCTGACTCTGGGCAGCCCTGGGCAGCTCCGTGCAGGAGAACTCAGCTCCAAGGCCCAGGCCTGGGGTGACCTCCTCTCCTAGGGTGGTGCCCCCCTCTGCTGTTCGGGATTGTGGGGACCCCACATTTTAGGGACCAGGGGTGTCTGGGAAGGTGGGGGAGCCCCATTGCCCGGCCTGCTCAGGTGGACTGGCACTGCCTGCAGCAGCTGATGGGGGCTCCAGCCCAGAACCCACCGGCTCCCCAGGGCCTGCCGGACTGTCGGGGTGCCCAGCTTTGCTGCAGGGCCCTTCGCCTCCCCAAGCCGGCTCGCTAGCCCTCGGTGCCAGTTCTTCAGCCGCTTGCCAGCCAGCTGGGGCACCAGGCACCTCCCCCTCTCACACCTCAGGCCTCCCCTGGCCTCTCCCCCTCCCTCCAGCCCGCAGGAGGGACCCAGCTCCTACCTTTCCGGCAGGAAGCTCAGGCCTGGCCCTGGGAGGCCCGGCCCCCAGGGAAGCCTGGCTGGTCATTCGTGTGGCCACGTGGCCCCAGTGGCAGTCCCACCGGGGGTGGGGCAGGGCTGCTCTCTGGAGGCTGTACAGGCTCGGGGAGGGGCGGCACTGCCTCCACTCAGGGGTGGCCCATCTGAGCTGCGCCTGCAGGGAGGGGCCTAGCAGGAGCGGGAGGAGCTGAGGCTTGTCCCCTCCCGCTGCGTTGACATTCTATCTTGGCTGGGCGGCAGCTGGCTCCCAGGAGCCTGCAGGCCGCCAGGTGCCCTCACCCGCCTGTGCCAGACAGTCAGGTGGCTCCTGCCCGGGCCCCAGGCCGGCAGGAGGGGTCTTGGAGGGCTGGGGTGGACGGGGCCGCATCAGGCCACAGGTGGGGTGATGACAGAGTTGTGGACTGAGAGAGGCCGGTGCACGACAGCGTGTACTGACTGCAGTGGAACGGCTTACTCAGAAACGGGTGGGTTTCTGTGGTGAGATGCTCACCTGTCCCCCAGAGGTGCGCCGGAAACACTCTGGGGTGGAGGGGTGCAGGGAGGACAGACAGGTCACTGAGCTCGCTTGGGGGCCTGACTTATTCTGCCCTGTGCTTTACTCTGCTGCCAGAGGCCCCTTGGGGAAGAGGCTTCCCCCAGCTGTGTCTGGAGGGTGTGTGGGCTGGGGGCTGTGCTCTGGTGGCAGACTCGTCCATGCCACGGCCGTGGGTACCAGGACCAAGGGCCTGCTCTGTGGCCTCAGCGGGGCCACCCGTTCATGTCTTTTGTGTCCCCTAATGCTCCCCGCAGCCCTGGGCGATGGGGTCAAGGGCTGAATTGTTGGAATTACTGTTCCCTTTTAGATGTGGGGGTGGGGGCACTCAGAGAGCTTCATCCACGTGTCCATGGCCCCCTGGAGTGGGGGAGGCTGCAGGCCCAACCCCTGGACACACCAGCCTGCTCCCTCCCCCTCGAGGGACATGCCCTGCCTGAGTCTGCCCCCCACTCTGCAACACCCACAGCGGGCCTCCTCTGAGTGCTGCCTAGAACCTTCCACACTGACCTTTCTCCCAGCTGTCCCCTCGTCCTGCAGGCTCAGACATCTCCCACCCAGTCCTGTCTCCTCTTCAAATTCCACCTGCAGTTCTGTCCACCTGTTGGCTTTGTGCTTGTCCCTCCCCCCACCCCCCTGCACAGGGCCTGCTGTGCCCATCCCGCTATGTGGAGAGCAGGCAGCCCATGGGTGCCCTGATCCCACCACCTGTCCTCGGTGCCCCAGGGCCTGCAGGAGCGGCTGTCGGTGTGCCAAGCAGTGCCGTGGAGGTGGCTGTCATCTTTAAGGGCCAGTTATGGAGGTGGCACCCAGCACTGCCCATGGTGACAATGATTTGGGGACCCTTAAGAGTGAAGAATCAGCTTCTGGGACATGGACAGGGCTGGCAGGAGCCTGGGAGGGGAAAACGTAGGGCTAGATCCTTCCCAGGCTAATGCTGGAATGACTGGGTGTGCATCAGGAGGCACTGTGGTTAGATGTCAGAAGGACTTCCCTAGCTGGAGGCAGCAGGCCTGTGGGAGGGAACTGAGGGGCCCTGGCTTTGGGGAGGCTCGAGGCCTGGACCCTGGACCCAGATGGAGGAACTTCTCAAACGCTGCCCTCTCCTCAAAGGCAGAAACATTGTGGGGGAGGGGCAGTGCTTTCTGACCAGGCTGGTGGTACCCCAGGGGCAGGCCTGGTGGGCTCCCCACCTGCAGCTGTGCCAGCGACAGGTGGGGGGGAGGGCTCCACGGTCCTCTTTTGTCCAAGGCCACCCCTGCTCTGATGGTGGAGGCCAGGTCCACCCTGGAGTTTTCTTGTTCAGCCATTGCCTCCAGGAAGGCCTCTGGGGATCCCTGGCTCTGAGGCCTCCCCACTCCGGGGCCTCTTGCCCACATTGGGAACTGGCTCTGTTCCGGGGCATCCCTACCAGCAGCAGGCCATGCATGCATTTCAGAAGCTTGGAACTCTGCAAAGTGGGGGCCATCCCCTCCCCTCCTCCTCTGAGTTCTGACCTGTCGCCCCTCAGTGCCTGGGTCTGCCCATGGCCTTGGCGGTCACCTTGGCAGAGCCCTTCATCTCCCTGGGCCTTGACTTTCTCGTCTGTGCAGACTTTCTCGTCTGAGTTCTCCCGCCCCTCCTTGGGGTATGGCCCTGCCATCACCGGGGGCCTGGGACCAACCCCCTCGCCTTGCTCTGAGCTCAGGGAAAGGGCCCGGCCCCATGGCCCTCCCTGGAGAGGGACCACATGCAGGGCTGTGTGGACAGGAGGATCCCAGGTGGGTGAGGCATGGGAGAGGCCGGGAGGGAGCCGGGCTGTGCCCAGCACACAGAGGGGGCTGAGGTCCACATGGGGGAGTGGGGGCTGGGACAGCTGGGTGTTCAGCCTCCTGGCTGCCAGTGGCACCCTCTGGCTGCTCGGCCCCACCCCTGGCAGCCGGCGTCATGGCCCACGCACACTCGGGAGACGTGGCCAGACCGGCCCGGCCTGATTTCCCCGCCTGGGGCTGGACGCTGACCAAGCCCATCACAGGGCAGACCTGCCGGCCCAGATCGGGCAGCCAGGGCCCTTGACCCCTGTCAACAGTGACCAGGTGCCCAGACTCCCTGCAGGTCCTGGCTGGGCTGTGGGGTGGCTGAGAAGCTGCTGGCTGGAGTCAGACCTGAGCACCCTCATCCCTGTGCCTGCCTTTCGCCACCAATGTCCCAAGGCCATGGCTCCTTGGCCTTACTGCTGGCCTTGGACCTCCTTCCACAGCTGTCCTGCCAGGCCTGCCACCCAGGGACATCTCCAAAGGCTCGAAGTTCCTTCCCCTCGCTGTGCCCAGGATGGCCCTCTCCCCCATCCCCGGGCAGGCCATGGCAGGGCTGGGGCAGGGCGGGCGGTGGGGGCATGGAGACACCTTGCCCCCTCAGGCCGGCCCCAGCAGAGTCCTCTGACTCTTCCTGGTGGCCTTACCCTGCTGGTGCCCAGGGAGTGGCAGACACGACTTGCCACGAGCGTTTTTTTACAGCTGTTGACTCAGCTAATAACGACCGTGGCCTAGGGCCTGGGGTACCTGGCCTGGGCCACTGTCAGCCAAGGGGCCTGGGCGCTCAGGCCTTTAAACCACTCATGTGGGAGCTGGGAGAAGTGGGGGGCAGTGGCGGGGCCGCGAGGCCTCTGTGGCCCCAGCACCTTCCTGCAGGCTGTGGAAGGCACCTACTGCCTGGGGGCCCCGAGCCATTTCTTCCCTTCCTCTGGGCCCATGGGGTGGGGACTGGGGGACCACGAATCCTTCCAGCTCTCATTCTGGGACCCCTTATGTGGTGGGTGAACAAGGAGACATTGTCTCCTGGTGACCAAGATGCTGGCTCCTCCCCTGGGCCAGGGCACCGGCCCCCAGGCTGCAGGAGCAGGGCCCTGGGTGAGACGCACCAGTGTGTGACCCCGACGCGCCCCTCTCTGTGTCTGCGACCTTGGGAAGACCCTGGTTCTCTCTGAACCTCGGTTCCCTCTGTGGTTGGAGCCCCCACATGCAGCAGGTCAGCCCCTGATTCTCTTGGAGGTGGCCACAGGTCTCTGGAGCCCAGGACAGCCCAGGACGGCGCGTCAGTCCTCCTGTCCTGCCAGCAGGTCCCCTGCCGTGGGCTTCTCTCGGCGTCTGGGCCAGTCAACCCTGGGGGGCCCCGGCGTGGGATCTGGGGCCTCGCTCCCTTCCTCCTGGGGCTCTCCCGTCCTTCCTGCCTGTGCCCGGGCGGCCCCCTCCTCTGTGCCGCCTCTGTCCCCAGAGAGAAGCTGTGTGTGCCCAGGGCCTGCCTGGACCTGCCCGTTTCCCTGGAGACGCTGCCTGTCCTGGGTGCGGACCTGGGGGCGCTCCTCTGTCTCCATGTGGAGCTGAGGCGGGGTGCTGGCCTGAGACCCCTTTTGGCTACCAGGTGGCATCCTGGGGCCTGGCCGGGCCCTGTCCTCTTGGGTGGAGAGGGAGTGGGGCACAAAGGCTGGGACTCTCAGAATTCAAGGCATGGGCTTTTTTCTCTGGGGGTCCCTGCCCCGCTGGAGTGAATGGGACCCTGGCCTGGACCCTTCCCTTCTCCCGTGAGCTGGGGCCCACAGCTCACCTCCATGGTGGCTCCTTCAGCTGTCCGGCTGGCCCCTTGGGCAGCTCTGTGGTGGGACCCCAGGCCTGGGAGGGGTGACCGGGATGCCTGGCCCCACGGTGAGGCCCCCGGACCTCCGCTGTGCCTCCTCACGGCAGCCAGGGGCGGGCCGGGATGCTGCTGCTCCTGGGGAAGTGCGGGCCTTTCCCCGGACCCAGAAAACTCCTCCTTGCCACCCGCCCACCCTGCCCGGCCAGCCCTGCCTGCTGGGGTGCCGCCCGGGGCCACACCCTCTGCCCTGCCCTGCCACCGTCCAGCGGGGGCCACACACTGGCCTTGGAGCCCCTGCCACCTGGGCGTGGATCTCGTCGGGACCACTGGCTGGCCATGGCTTTGGGAGGCTGCACCTCTGGTCCTCGTGGGTGGGAGTCCGACGCCCAACTCCACAGGTGCAGTGAGAGGTAGATGGGGTGATGCCGTGTCTGTGACACATGGAGCCTGGCTGTCCCCCCTGCATCTGCTCACGCTTCCCTTTGTCCCCTTCATCCCTTGGTTGTCCTGCAACAGGGAGCCACAAGGGGTCCAGGACAAGCAGCTCTGAAGGCTTTTGCCATGGCTCCCCTCCCACCATTACTGGGGCCACCGTGTGCCGAGGGTCTTCCCTGGACCAGAGCCACAGTCCTCAGGTGGCCGGGGCAGTGGTGCTGTGCCTCGAATCCCACCAGCTCCACCTGCACAGCCCTGAACCTTGGTCTTCCGGTTTGAGAAGTGGGCTCAAAGGTCCTCATGCTCCCAGGTTGTGTGCGGGTCAAAGGAGGCTAACAAAGTGAGCTCGTTGAGCGTGGGGCTTGCATACCCTGGGAGCCAGTGTGGGCCCGCGACTCCCTGTGGCTTGTTTCTCAGAGAACCCTGTTTCTCTCAGTATCTCACCCCCTCCCCTCCTTCCAGCTGCCTCCCTACTTCGGCCTGCCAGGACCATGTGGACTTCCAGCCATTCACAAGGCCCAGGCCTTCGGGGTTCCCGCCTGCCTCCACGACAGATGGGCTCCCGGCTCTGAGCAGCCCAGTGCAGGGTCCTGAGAAGCGGAGCCCCTGAGAAGACTGTCTGCCACCAGCGGCTCTGGCCTCTGCCCTGGGCTTCCTGGGGCCCATGGAGACGCGGTCCCTGTCAAAATGTGCCCAGATGTGGGCTTCCTCCTGAAAGCCACCCCCGTCCCCGGTCCCCGGGGCTGCAGGGCCTTCCCTCCTGTCATAATCCTTGGGGATTGATGGCTCCTCACTTCCCATGAGCCAGTCCTCACCCCCAGTGACTGCATCTGTGTGCTTCCTGCGGAGATGTGGAGTAGCAGATGCTGGTCAGAGCACCTCCCTGCATCGTCCCCTGGTCACTCAGGGCCCTCAGATTTCGCTCTCATCCAGGCGTCGTGCTAGCCACTTACCTGCGTGCCCCCCTCCGGGTTTCCAACTTCACTGCAAGGTGCTAATGGAAGAGCCGACGCAAGTAGGCTCAGTGGGTCCCACAAGCAGTGTCTTATTCCCTCCGTTAGTTGTCATAGCTGGTTTTGGGGGGGTTGGGGCTGTCAAAGCCCTGGATGAGCAGCTTGGAGCGATAGCAGGCAGAGGTCGCCCTCCCTGGCTTCTCCTGATCTCCAAGGGCACCTGCTTGCCCTTGGCTCTGAGCTGAAACCCCATCCCCACCTCCGCAAAGGAACAGGGAGGGCATGTGAGGGAGGGGCCTGAGGGCCTCCGAGGGCAGCTCAGTGGAGCCGTACCAGATTGCATGCTGTCGATCAAGGGCATGGCCTTGAGAAAGGAGCCCCGGCCAGCAGTCTGGGCGGCAGGGGCTGGCACAGGAACCCGAAGATGGTGATTTACACAGGGCCACGAATCACTGTAAGGCGTAATTAGTTTGCTCACTGGGTGAGGGCCATATGCAGCCTCTGCATCTAGAGGAATGACCTGGAGCACGTGGCCCTGCCTGCGGGAACCCAGGCATTGTGGGCTCCATCGGAGCACCTCCCTGTCCTCCAGAACTGTCGCAGCTGGGAGCAGAGTGTGGCTGAAGCAGAGGGCCTGGTGCCCTTCCAGTCACTTGCCTGGATTTATACGGCAAGAGAGGTGCTGGCTCCAAGGATGGGGACCTTTAGTGTCAGTCTGTGTTTTATGAGCTTCAGGCAGCTGTGAATGAGTGTGACTTGGAGAAGGTACTGGGGGCCTGGTTTGAATTGCACATCCACCATCCAGGTGGGCAGCTGAGGGCCGGCAGCACGGCCCCATGTCCCCAGCCCGCGTTCGCCGGTGCACGCCTGGCTCTTCTGCAGGGCGGCCGCATGACTCTGTCTCAGTTTCCCTCTCTGGAACACGTGGATGACCCGGGTGGTGCCCTCCCCTGGTCTGAGTGGGAACTGAGCAGAGAAGAGTGGACCCCAGAGCCTCGTCCCGGTGACAAGCAGTGCGTGTTAGCCCTGTTGATGTGCATTTAGGGACCAAACCAGAAAGCCAAAAGCTGCAAATCCAAACCCAGATTTAGATGGGAGCCTATCCAAGCCTCCGTTTCCCTCCTTGTTCAGTGAGAGAAGTCATGACTTCATAGCACGAACACTGGATTTTTACATGACAAGTGTAGAGTCTGAAGTGTTAACCTGAGGACACCAGGCTCCTGCTCCTGCTCTGGGGGGGCCACCCCTCCCCCGTCCCCAAGGCTTCCTTGCTCCGGCCCTGACGCCTCAGGACACACAAGTCACCTTGGGGGTCCTTGTGTGTGCGGACGCACCTTCCCCTCTGCGGTCGGCTCCTATCCTTAGAACCTACGCTCATCCCAGTCCCCCATGCAGCCCAAGTGGGGTTCGGTGCACGGGGTCTCACCAGGGAACGCCAGTATGCAAGCCAGTTGGGAGACGAGGCTGCCCAAGGCCAGAACGGGGGGGGCAAAGCTGGCAACAAAGGGGTCCTGTGTCTCTCAGGGATGGGTCTGCCTCAGTTTCCCTGGTGTCCCTGACAGGTATAGGCACCAGCAGGGGGCAGTGGGACTTTGGTCACTCAGGGTCCCTGGAGCAGAAGGGGAGTGAAGTGTCTTCCCCACTTAGGAGTCGGCGCCGCCACTGGGAAGTCTGACCAGATTCCCACACCTGACCTCCTTGCAATGGAGGCTGCCTGCTCGCCCTCGCCTGTCTGTGCCCCACACGGGCAGTGTCTGCGGGGGAATGAGCCCTCGAGGTTTCCCTCCGTCCTACCTCTGGCAAACCTGTGCTGGCCCAGTGGCTTGAACCCGTCTCTCCACTGCACGCCCTGGACGGTTTCTCAGGTGGAGACCCTCAGTTTAAGGAGGGGTTGGTTCCGAGGGAAACCAAATAAAAGCGTCCCCTTCTGATCTCACGAAGACACTGATGCCACCTATGAGGTTTCTTTGCAAATTCTTTCCTTCTTTAGGATGTTATTTACTTTTCTTAAAGTTTACTTTTATTTATTTTGAGAGAGAGACAGGAAGCGAGCAGGGGAGGGCCAGAGAGAATCCCAAGCGGGCTCCACATCATTGGCACAGAGCCTGACGCGGGGCTCGATTCCACGAACGGGGAGACCAGAAGCTGAGCTGAGGAGTCACACAATGAGCAGCTGGTCGCCCTCTGTATGTGAATCCTGAAGAACTCCTCGATGCCAGGTGCACGGGGATCCCCGTGGGGTAATACGAACCAGTTCCCAGCTCCTGAGGAGGGGTCTGTGCCCCACATGCTCGCAGTGACCCAGGAGGAGTGTCTGGAACAGAAGTTAACGGCTGTCCAGCGACCGGCACCCGCTCAGAGCTGTCAGAGGAAGGGGAGCGGGTAGGCATGCACCCAGTGTATGCACTGTGCGCTGCATTTCCTGCCAAATGAGGCTTCCTCCCACCTGAAGTATATGGAACTGAACTCACGCTGCGAGGCTGATTTCTCAGTGTTGCTAAGAAGGATGGTGTAGCCATTTAGGGCAGGCGTTTATTTTTATTAAAAACCACTGACTTCCAACATTTGCTACCATGCGTGGAGGACAGGACTCATACCTGATGACTCATCTTTCAACTCTAGATTATATACAACTACTTTCACCCTGCTGGGAACCCTTCACATGCCCCCCCAGGACACATTCCATGGCTCTGTCCCCACCGGATGGGGCTGCGGGTGACTTAGCGACCCAACCAAGTAAGAGTTGGCCTGGGTGTGCGAGTTCCTTCTGGGTCCCAGGACGGAGGCCACACAGTTCCTCCTGCTGACCCTCCAAATCAGGAGGGTGTCCGAGTGTCCCCTTGGCCGCGCCGAGGAGCAAGCAGGGTCACCACACCTGGCATGCCTGGATCACCTCCTTCAGGGCCTTCAGCCCCTCCACACTCCTGTCCTTCATGGCCATGGCCAGGAGCACCGCTCTGTTCCCGGCTTCTTGAGACACAAACGTCACCAGGTTCTTTGCAAAGACATGGATGAGAGGCTGGTGAAGGGAACGACAGAAGCCATATTAACCACGAGTCTCTTTCCCGCAAGAACCCACCTGGCTTCTGCACCAGTGTTAAATCCCCACCCGATAAGTGTGATGCAACAGCAGGTCAGGGTGCAGCGCGAGGCTCCAGAACACTCCAGGCCGACACTAATTGTTAAACCTGCACCATCATATCTATTTTCTCGGTGCCTTCTGACTCCCTGGCCCCTCTGCCTATCTCTAATCTAGAACTCCCAAAACACAAGTCTGCAGGGCTGGGTGCGGGGGTCTGTCCACTGCCAGGTGATCTTTTCAGATGGAGCAGGGATAGCCACTCGTTCCTCCAAGCTGTAGTGACAGGGTCAAGATGCAGGTGAGGCGCCCCCACTACAGTATCAATGCCTCCACTTGTCTGCTAGATAAAGTCCTGAGGGGCTGGGAAAGGCAGCCACCAAGCGCGGGCTCCAGGAAATGCTGTCGCCACCAGGGGCGGGGGCGGTGGTGGTGGGGCGGGGGCTTGCCTACTGACAAAGCAGAGCCACAGACAGAGTGGGTCTCCCCCTCCCCCCGGCGCAGGGACCCCTTCCCAGCCACTCTACCTCGTCCTGCCCCAGAAGGACTCTAGTGCTGAGCACCGGCTTGCCGATGTCACCCGCGACGTCGCTGGGTTCCAGGGAGACCAGGGTGCCCATCTTGCCGAACTGGGTCACCAGCACCAGGATGTGACTGCTGAAGGCTGTGCACACCACCTGGGTGGGGACCCCGCACACCACTTCCGTCCTCTGTCTGGACACCAGCAGAGGTTTGCCTTCCATGGCGGGGTCTCCTCCGGGGCACTGCTACGTTAAAACAAGATAAGCGAATGAGGCCGCGTCCCCGCGGGGAGCGCCCTGCGCGCCCCAACGACCGCGCGCACGCGCCCTGGGAAGCGAGGGTCCGCGCGGCCACCTGGCTTCACTGGGCTCACGTGTGGGAGGGTGGAGGCGGCGGCGCGGCAGCGCGCACCAGACCCAGGCGCTGGGTGAGGACCCGCGCCGCTCCCGGAGCGCGGCCACGGGAGCGAGCACCGCGGGCGCGCGCGCCCGGGCTCGAGCAGGGGGCCGCGCCCCCGCCGCTCCTCAGGCCCGCCCGCGTCTGCCCTGCTCCCGCCGACCCGTCCCGCCCGCCAGACCGCCCGCGCTCACCACGCCGCGCCCGGAAGTGACGACTGAGAGCGACTGGGGTGCTCGACCGGAAGCGCGGCCGAGGGCTTCCGGTCCCTCCTGGGCTTCCCTCCGGGTCCCGGAGGTACGGGGTTCCGCGCTCCCAAGAGGGGCCGCGGGTTCGGGGCAAGGGGCGGCGGCGGCCACCCGCGGGCCTCGGCCTCTCGGGCTCCGGCTGCACGGGGAGTCCTCGGCCGTCCTGGGGGGAGCCCCGCAGCTCGGCGGTCGGGGGTCGCGTGGAGGCCCCGGGGCTGTGGGAGAGGAGCCGATGCCGAGAGCGGGCCGTCCGGGCCCTGAGTGCGGCCCGCGGGCGTCCCAGTCCAAAGCCGGGGCGTACTGCTGACCGCGGGCGGGCGGGGCGGCGCGGAGGCCCCCTCGGCGAGGCCCGGGTCGGGGTGGGAGCGCGGCGGGGGGCGCCTGCGGGGCCGAGGATGGTGTGTGGGGGGTAGGGGGCGGCCCCCGGGGTCGGAGACGTTAGGCAGGAGTGTGTCCGCAGGGGCGGCCTCCGGGGTCGCGGCGGACCCTCCCCCACTCCCCCCACGGGGTCCCCAGTCCTCCGGGGATGCTGGCGGCCTATCAAGGGCCCATCTGCCCCCCTCTTCCCCCAGGCCAGCATCCACGAGGCCGCAGTGGGTGCCGGGCATTGTGCTAAGTGCTGTCTGGGCAGTAAGTAACTTCTGCATCTTAGCCCCACGAGGTGGAGCGCTGTCACCCCTGTTGCATACGCAGGCTGTTCGGGTTCGGAGAACTTACCCGAGGTCGGCAGCCTGTAAGGGCTGGATCACCCTTGAGTACTGGTCTGGGGGCTCGAATGCCGGGGTACAGGGGAAGAGGAGGAACCAGTGTGCCCCCTGTGGCGGGATGAATTCTGGCCCCTACCCGGGAACTGAGACCTTCCCACCACTCCTCTTCCCCAAGCAGGAAGGAAGTTTTATTGGAGGTGTGGGGGAGCCTCACACTGACTGATACTGCAGGAATTTGAGCCTCTAGACTCTTAGGGGACTAACCTCCCTTCAGAACCCCACACTCACTGTCCAGTGTCCTGCCAACGGGTCAGGACCCTTGTCCCCTCAGCCTAGTCTGCTGACACCGAGTCCCCTAGGAAACCTCAGCATCCCTGATCTTTCCCTTTTCTTGTGATTTGTTGACTCCTTATACAATCCAGGTCAAGTCAAATGAAGCACCTTCCAAAACAGTTTCTGGTGGCTTAAAATAAAAAGCATGTATTCAAAACATTCTCAAAATAGAAATAAAAATCAAAAGGAAACCTGTTTTGGAGCTTTCTTGCAGCCAGGTCACAGAGGGAAAGATTATGGCTTTCAAGGTTCCAATACTCCACAAAGGGAAAGGATATCAGTTTCTCAGGAGGGTGTTATTGTTGGGTCTAAATTTAAATACACACCCACCCACACACACCCCAAAAGCAAATCGCCAGGGCATTGTTTTGCCATGGGAAGCCTTCAAAAGGTTGGTTCACTGTTACCTGTTCATGCAGTCTCTCTCTGTAGACAAATGGACACAAGTTTGACACCCCCCTCTTGGCGGGGATAAAACCCCAATTCAAAGTTCTCTCCTTTATGAAAGGTGTTGAAGATCGAAGTGGGCGATGCTTCCATGAGGCTGTTAAGCAGATATCTAACTGCTTTGTCAGTTGGCTGTTTTTTGGTCTAGATCTTGGATACGAACTGCATATGAGGTAAACGAGGTGGGAAGTCCGGCCCAAGTGGATGTGTGGGCAGAACTTTGGGACTTAGGATCATGGAGGATGACCTCATTGCCTGCTGTTGACTGTTGTCCAATTTAAGGCAATTATTGAACTGGAAAGAAAGGTCCTTTAAGTGATTTCACTTAAAATGAGAACCGAGTAGTAGTAGTGTCACTAATGGGGCAAAAGAGAATTTATCTTGGAAAATGGGAAAAGTGGAAAATACCTTGGATTTGTCTTCTATTCGAGGACTTTGCGGTTGGGAATGCAGTTAGACGTTAGCTTGTAGAACCAACAAAGAATCAGTGTTGACTTGGCAGCACCATGATTTTTCAACTAATTGTGTGGTAGAGATGTTCTCTTGTCTTGAAGAGGGTTGGTTTGCCTCGCTGTGTCGGGGCCCCATCCGTCTCCCCAAGAGCCTCTCCTAATCCTTCCATCATCACGTCACTCCTTGGAGTACTGTCCTGTCACAGCCTTCGTTTGTCGGCCTGGGCACCACCAGAACCTACCCCAGTGTCCCACTCACAGCATCCCAAAATCTTGGATCATTTCCCGAGATTTGCAGCTGACTTGGCAGTTGACTTGCAGCATCCACCCACAGCTTCCCAACATGGTTTCCGTGGCTTCCAACATCGTGTGTGTGTGAGAGAGAGACTGTGCGGAGACGGGAGTCAGGAGCCGCACTGGGAGGGGTGTTTAAGTGGAGCCCAGTTTTGTAAACGGTCAATTCAGTAGGGAAAGTTTCTCTGTTACCATGATGCTGCTCCCTCCACAGCCTCATGCCTGCCGGCACCCAGGTACCTGAACTGTCCACGCTCAGGACCTCGGAATGGGCAAGACTTCAAGCCGTGGAGCCTGCCTCCCTGGCCCTTACTCACTGTGCTCTTTTGGGCCACTTTCCTTGTCGGCCTCAGTTTCTCAGCTTCAAAATGGAGGTAACACTTGTGCCTGCCCCCTGGGATTGAAAGAGGTTCATGTGCATGGATTCTCTGGGGCTTTATGAAGTCAGCTATGACTTTATTTATCTTCATATGTATATATTTATGTATTATTTATCACGTTTATTAGTAACCACCTGTTCCCCCATCCTTAAGTAAGTACCATCCCGCTGCTCTACGCCGGGTGAGGAGCAGCCTGAATGCACATCAGTCTTTGGGGCTCAGAGGGCCTCACATTCGAGGTGGGGTGCTGCTGGCCACCCTTGACCTGTGGGAGGCTCCCCAAGCTGCTGCCCAGGGTCTGACTGAGCAAAGGGCTTACAGAGCCTCTGGGTTCTGGTGAGACACGATCATAGGCGGAGCTGCGTTATTAGTGCAGATAATTGTCCTCCTGTTCTCAGCCAGTCCCCTATAGGACCCAGGGACGCAGAGAGCCAGAGGTCACATTTGTGACATGGGCCTGAGACAGGGCGTCTTTTATTCTATTTAGATGGTAGATACTTTGGACTGAGTGAGGGCAGATGTGCTCATTAGGATTCTTTCAGGCAGGTGACAGACGCCATGTGAAACCGTCTCTTGCCCTGAAGGGGAACAGATGGGCCCAGTGGACAGCTGAGGACACACGGAGGCTCCGAGATGGCTGTCCTCTCGTGCAGGTGAAATCACTAGCCTGGGTCACAGGCCCGTCCTTGAACCAGTCACTACTTGACAAACAGTTAATTTAAAACAACTCCCCGTGCATTTGAGTTAGAAAATACTTCATAGCGATGTGCTTCAGAGACGAAATCATCTTGGAAATTAGGAAATATCTAGAAGCTGACCCTCCCCCTCCCCTAGCCCCTGGAAACCAGTCACCTACCTCGTGTTTCTGCAGATTTGCCTGTTGGGACATTTCCCACAAGGGAACTTGTCTGCCATGTGGTCTCTCACGACCATCTCCTTCCGCTCAGCATCGTACTATGAATGCTCACCCACGTGTGTCAGGGCTTCATTCCTTTCAGACGAGCCAGCTGTCAATTGCTTGGTAATCGGGAGGGTGAAACGAGGCCCCGTTGCAGGAGGGCCTGTGACACGCACAGGTGGACAAAGTTTCCTTCCCTTCATGGGTCACCAGACTCCGCTGGGATCCCCCACTCCCCCCCCCCCGCCCGGCATCCACGGTGCCTTGTGTGGTCTGTGGCTCTGAGCACTCTGCATTGCTGGTGTTTGGGGGTGCTGAACCAAGGAGTGACACGTCAGCCAGCCCCCAATGCCCCCGAGACAGGTCTGGAGATACCCACTCAGGCTTTCTTGGCGCCAGGGTTGTGAGGTCCTGATGCCATGATCCTGTCCCCGGAGAAGGACTGTGGTGGCAGAGAAGCTGATGGTGGCCTGTCAGGACACAAATGTACCGGCACCTGGGCATGTCCGCCTTCGAGCTGTCTGCAGCTCTTTCTCCGTCTGGCAGCCCACAGCCATGGCCGGGGACCCCCTGCCCTGTGGCCCTGGCGTTTAGTCACTGCCCTTTTGGTGCCCCAGGTGGGAGGCCCTCAAGTGTGGTGGCCCGATGGCGACCCTGGGCCGTTGCCATTGTGGCAGTGTCCCCATGCACAATGGTCACAGACACCCTTGAACAAATAGCACAGAAATAGCAGCGGTTCTAATTAGAGTTCTCTGTAAGACCGAAATTACCTTTAGCAGCACCCTGTTATGTAGAAAAACAATGAACAATTAATTTTTCCCAAACCAGGATTATCCAAGTAGAGGCAGGATATAAGAAATGGGCCGCTGAGGCCTTTGGAGAAAAAAAGATTAAAGGCAACCAATTGAAAATCGCATATATTTTATTACAAAAACAAAGCCCCGGGTCTATGTGAAATTCAAATTTTTCCCAAGGGAAATTAATGAATACCATTAAAACTGAGTCCAGTTTATAAGGATCCAGGGAGCGGTTCCTTTGGAAAGGGAATAAATCCTCTTCCCAGGGAGCATTTAAAGATCATTTCTGAAATGCCGGCAGCACAGGGTAAGAAGTAAAATCGTTATTTTCCTGCAGAGGCTGGTCGTGTTCCCCGTTGGGTGTAGGCTCAGCTCAGCCAGGGCAGGCAGGGCTGTCTGGCCTAAGGAAGTCCCGAGCTTCGGAGTTTCATGTCGAAGGGAGCGTTTTTATTTAACGGCACACAGTAAACACAAAGAAAATCCCTAGTTTTGGGACCCAATTCCATCACGGCCCCGGGACCGAATGTTCTACACGTCGCTTTGTTTTCTGCCGAACTCGGTCAAGCTCGGATCTCACGATGTTTTCGTTCAAGGAGCAAGCCTTTCTTTAGAAATCCAGAAAACCTCCTCGC